ATATTAACTGAAGATTCATGTATTCAAGTCTCATTGATTGGCAATGTTATTTTAGTTGACTTTATTAGTAATAGTAATAACAGTAGTATATATTCATCGAAGCCACTTTCATTCAATTCATTTTATATATTAATGATGTAAAATAGCAAAGTTAATTTAGTTGATTTTATTAATTACTAATAATATGTAATAGTTTGATGACTTTTAGTTTAATATTACTAAAATCAACTTGGGCATTGATCATATTGGCTATTCTGTCAATAGTTTATCGATTCAAATAATAGTTTAATCTTTAGAATTTGTTCATTTTTTTCATTAAATGGAGGGAGGAAGTTGGTGGACAAATAATTCTGCATTTGATTTTAATAATTGTGGGTTCTATTATTTTTTTTTTGTGGATATTTTCATCTCTCAAGTAGGTAAATAATTTTTTTTTTTTACTTAGGGGGAAAGGAGTTACTAAAATATTATAGAACAAAATTGTTCATTTTAATAATAAAATTTTATAGATATAAATGGTTATTTGATCAAAAGAACAGAGATAAATGCACTTATCCAAATAAATAAATGACTTATCAAAAATTAATGGGCCTTAATAACCATAGGAAACTATAAAAAAAAATCAAAGCAGCTGTCTAATAATCAGTGCCAATGATGGTTTGGAAACATGGCAACTCACTCTTAGGCCCCATTCTCTTTTAGGTAAATTACTTATCCATGTAAATGCAATTATCTGGATAAGTTTTTTCTAGAAAACACTTATCCGAGTAAATGCATTTACGCATGTTCTTTTATTTTCAAGTAAACGAGACAATTACCATTTTAGCCATAAAAATTCATTATTAAAAGGAGCATTTTGTCCCATTAAAGTGTTGGCGACTTCCCCCCTAGGTGGGGAAATTATTTACCCGCCTAGGAGTAAAAATAAACTTTCTCTAGTCCCTGCATGAATTTGAAAAAAAAGAACATAGGATTCTTGATCAATAAGAACCAAAATTCTATTGACCAACTCCCCCCTCCCCCCCTTTCAAAATCCCAAAAAAGAATACCCTCTCAGGAGTGAAAAAAACTTAGCCAATGTGTTAAACATAATCCCCTGTTTCTTCCCACTTCATAGGTAGGTTTATATGAACTTTATGTAACCTTTACCAGAAAAATGCAACAGTAGCCGTGATAAAGGCAAGACTTATAGAATAATATATGGTAGAAAGAACCCTATAGAGACTTAGAGAGCAAAAGCTATTGATTTTGAACAGTTAGAGAACAATCCGGGGTGTTAATAAGGCCCTCCCTGACATTAGTTCAATACCATTACGCCATGTCCAATTAAGGGCAACTAGATCGGGTTGGGTAACCTATCACGAGTGAAGTGAATATCCAATGTTCCGTACACATAGAGCCTATATAAGACCCAAACTATATGCATACAAAACACTAGTGCGTTCACCAGCCAATGTGTATGTATGATTGTCTCTGGTCCATATAGAATTGTTCAAGTGAACTAATGTGTTGTGTAGGGAGATGGGGCTGTTCATAAGAAGGTCCAATCCGACTAAATCGATCAATCCGGACTGACCCAATCCGAGTCGGCCGGATTTTCATCAATACCGGTCGGTTTTGGGTTGTACAAATTCATAAACCGATGGTTTGGGTCGGTTTTGGTTTTCTTGTGTGAAAACCGAAACCGAGCCGAACTGAACTGACTTAGTTCCTATTTAACTAAAAACTGAAATATCTGAAAATATATATTCCAATATCTATATCTAAAAAATATATATTATGAAATATGTCAGATATATATTTCCAGAAAATATATATTCCAATATATTTGTATGTATATTTTTGTTTATATATATATATATATATATTTCTAAAATACATATTTCAGTTTTAAATATATTTCCAGAAAACTAGGTGGCTATGGGGGGCATGGATGAACTTAGAGCCGAAACCGACCCAAACCAACCCAACCTGACTCAAACCGACCAAATCGGTTTTGCTTAACACTTGGTCGGTTTCGGTTTCTATCTCAAGTAATCCGACCAAGTCGGGTCAGTTGGAAAAAATTTAATAAACCGACCCACCCCGACCCGTGAACAGCCCTATAGGGAGAGACAGATTGACACAACCCAGGCTGTAAAATTTGGACAGCCAATTTTTTTTCAGTGTTATCATATACCGAACACGTCCTAGCATTCTCCCAGTATATCCCTAGCAGCAATCAGGAGTCAAAGGATGGTGGCTCAGCTTCAGTTCCCCAATGCTATCAATCATTTGATTTTGTTAGAGAAAGAGGACCCCTCTCAAACGGGAACACAATGTCTAACTCATTATTCTTCTTTCCGTGTATATTTTTTATCAAGGTTTTTAAAATTGGACTGGACTGGGAAGGTCCAGTTTTCAGGTCAAGTGGTTCGATCGTCTGATTCGAATGGATGAGCGCTTTATTGATCAGCGCTTCATTGATCAGCACTTCTGTGGTGGTTAGACTTATACATCGGCAGCCAAACCTTCCTTATTACTAAGGCCCCATTAGGTTCGTGGGAATAGGGGTCTGGAATCGAATTGGAATGGGATATTCCAATTCCAACTGCTTGGTTGGACGGAATTGAAATCACATTTCCATTCTGGCCAGAATGGCATTCCCCCATTTGAGGGAATGGCCATTCCCTTCTCATTTTCATTTCCATTTCTATTCCAGTCTGAATCAAACAGACTATGAGACTGGATTATTTTGATTCTTACTGCAAACCAAACGGACCCTAAAATATCTCTCTACCAGCACCCAATAGATTTCCCAACTTCACTCCTCATCCCCTCCAAAGCCACAAGCTCACAACCTTTGCCTGAAGGGCCCTGAATCCATTTTTACCCCGCCATTTTCTTCCGTTGAATCAAAATTTGACTCGCTCAACTAACTCAAATATCTCTCTAAGCGGAACTTTGCCTTTCGTCAAAGGTTAACAGAGTCAAATGTAGTTTCGGCATTTCTTAATTGTGTTCCAATTACCCCAACTAGCCAACATCCAATAATCACATTTCAATTCTGTTGAACCTCAATTTGGATGTTAATAATACAGTGGGTTTGGTGACCAGGGAGTAATTTACCGTGTCAATTTTGCTTCTTGAGGTGGACCTAGTGCAAATGCTCACAGTCTTGCCGTCATGGAAGTAAGGGGACGATGGGATGCTTGCTGGTTTGAAGTTAGGGTGGTAGAGATCTAGTTTTGCTCCTCTGGGTACATTTGGTTGGAGTTTACATCTCTTTTTATTTGTAACTATGATTTGCAGTTCCATTTGATACAAATGTGTACTTTTTGTTTCATTTGCACCCACTGCTTAGTTTATTGATGCAAATTTAGTACCACTTTATCCTACCTCAATTCAATTCCCTCATATATAATGTGGGGATGTATCATCTTACTTTCCTCCATTCCAATACAAAAAACCCTCCTACCCTTATTCTCTTGCAATATAAGATGGGTCCACACAGTTTTATTTCTTATTTTCCTTTCCATTAACAAATAAGTTCAAATCTGAAGAAAAAATAAGTCAAAATTTACAAACAACCAATTTGCACTTCCCATACATTTATACCAGTGAAAATGAGGCAATCGAGTTAAATATAAGATATTCATTTTGCTGTGTTCAGTGCCAAACATTCATCCCTCTCTTTTTTATAATTTTACTACATAAATCTTATTTTGTCATGTTGGATGGTGATCTGGCGCCGGATATCTAAGAGTATTTGTTTATTATTTTAGAAACAACAAATTATGCCAGGTTGACTCCATGGCCCAATGGATAAGGCGCTGGTCTACGGAACCAGAGATTCTGGGTTCGATCCCCAGTGGAGTCGTTCTTTATTCAATTTTAATTTTATTTCTCCTATACTGCCTTTTGTTTTATTTTTATTGGTTATTACAATGGGAGGAATTTTCTCCGATTTATTTCTTTTCTACTCTTTAGAGGATCTGAATCCATAAGTTTGTTTGTGTTGGATCAACCTTTTACCTTCTGAAATTTATTGATTTTACTATTTTACCCCTAAAACATACAATTTGGAAATGTTGAATTCAATTTACATTATCTCATAAATAATAATTTTCAACCTCAAAATAATATTGAAACAATACAAATAAAAAATAATAAATTAATAATTACTAATTAATAAATGAAACAATTATTATTAAAAAAATAATTAATGATTATAAAAATATTAAACAATACAAATAAAAATAATAAATTAATAATTTTCTCGGATTTATTTCTTTTCTACTTTTTAGAGGATCTGAATCCATAAGTTTGTTTGTGTTGGATCAACCCTTTACCATCTGAAATTTACTGATTTTACTATTTTGCCCCTAAAACCTACAATTTGAAAATGTTGAATTCAATTTACATTATCTCATAAATAATAATTTTCAACCTCAAAATAATATTGAAACAATACAAATAAAAATTAATAAATTATTAATTATTAATTATTAAATAAAACAATTAAAATTAAAAAATAATTAATAATTATACAAATATTAAAATAATTTTTAAAAATTAATGAAATAATTAAAAATATTAAAATGATTAATAAAAGTAATTTATAATTAATAATTAATAAAATCGTTATTATTATTATTCACCGAAGTACCGAACCACCACTGCTGCTTGTTGCAGCGGCGGTGGTGGAAAGACATGGGAGAGAGAAGTCGAAAGTTTAGATTTTCTGGATTTGGGGTATCAAGGATAACTCGGGTCATTTACAAAAATTATAAGGATATTTTAGACATTAGACCACCTCTAAAACAATTCTTGACGCGTTAAGAGCCAGCCCAAAGTTAATCATAGGTGATAATCTTTTTCAGATTCGATTTAAAAGGTACAATCAAAAAGGGGTGAGGTAGGGGTGAGGTCTGACACGTAGCATTCTGACCTATAGAAAGTGCAATCAAACGGCACCTTCGTCAGCTTTGCATGGGGCTACGTGTATGCCAACAAAAATAGAAAATTACGGAGCAAATTTCTGCCTTCCATACTCTGCTCCCTCATGCCTTAAATTTTGAAAGCAAGCCTCTGTCTTTTCCCATTCTCGCTTTCGATTGTTACGATCGGAGAGGGGAAGACTAGACAACAATGTCGACCCTTGTAGTTCCTGAATCGATTCCGTCTGCGATCGAAGACTGCGAGCAACTCAGAAAAGCTTTTCAAGGTATGGAAACTTAAGAGTCTACTCTCCTCATTTTTGTGTTCCCTTGATCGATCATCACTACTTCTGTGTAGGTTTGATTTTCCACCTTTGTCATGTTAGATCGGTAGATCGTTTCTCATTTTCTTCTCCGATCATCATAGATCGTATTCTTACTGGGATTTGTTACCGAAAAGATTGAAACTCGTATTCTTTCTTTCTTTCTTCTTTTTTTTTTTTAATTTGGTTGAAATTCTGGACATTATATATAGTATTGCTTTCATTTGATCTGACAAACCTGTTTGTGTATTATCTATGCTCAATGAAAATCTGTGATACTGTCCTGTTGGCTTCATAAAAGAAAAAGAAAATTCTCGATACTGCCTTCTGCTTGTATTGCGAGTTGGCTGGTAGTAGCTGGAGGCTTAATTGAAAATGTTCTTCTCCAATCGTATATTTGTTATTCCCTACTTTAATTGAAAAAATATAACTAGCTCAAATTTCTGTGTTAGATTTCCGATCCGTTGCTTTTGAAAGCCCTGCTGCAGCAGTCATGCTTTCCTTTTGGAAACTTGTCTTGATCTCAGTCTAAAATTATGTTATTGTCGTAATATTGTGCATCAACATCGTAAGATTAGATTCTACATGCAACTGGATAATGATCGGCACTACATGCAAGCATAAGAGAGCGTTTTGCCTGGTGATCCCTGTCTGCAACAAAGTTTTCTGCAAATTTTAATTGTTCGAGTATCTTTTTGTTTATTATATAACGCTGGATGAACTTTAGATTATTCCAGAGTATGGTGTTGTATTTAAATATGTAGTCTATGTTGGCCTGTTTTCAGTCTACTACAATCCATACTTGAAGCAATTGCACAATCGCATTAGTTTCCTTTTGCATTAATTAAGGAGATTGAGATTGCATAATACACTGCATTTTCTGAGTACTTCATATTTCGAAATTCTTTTTTTTTTTTTTTTTTTTTTGAGAAAAGTGATAAATTTTTAACCTTCTCTTTTTGTGGATCAGCTCTGAATTTGGTCATTTAGAACGTGAAATACAAAAATATATGGTTACTTCTAATAGATTTAGCTCAGAAATAATGTTTTCTGCATGCTTCGATTCTTTATGATTATCAGTAGTAAGCAGTTTTGTCAACCTTTTGTAGGATGGGGAACAAACGAGAAGTTGATCATATCCATATTGGCTCACAGGAATGCGGCACAACGCAAGATAATCCGACAAACTTATGCTGAAAAATACGGAGAGGACCTTCTCAAATCTCTAGAAAGAGAGCTTACAAGTGATTTTGAAGTTAGTCTATTTGCATTTACCTTTCTTAATGTTCAGCAAAAACAAAGATAATGGTGAAAATCCTCATGTTCTTAAAAAATGCAATGGCTATTCTGCCAATAAAAGCATAAAACCGGGCATGATGCTTATTTAGTAAGTGGCAGAATGTATAAACTATAAAAAAAAGTATGCCAGTACCAATAGGAGGAAAGCATTAATAAACAAGTAGTACTAATAAGTAATAAAATATGAATCTTGTAGTACCTAATAAAATTCGATTATCTGCACTCCTTAAACAGATAGTAGTGCTGCTGTGGACACTTGATCCTACTGATCGGGACGCTTTCTTAGCTAATGAAGCTACAAGGAAGTGGAAAGCAACCAATCAGGTTCTTCTGGAAATAGCTTGTACCAGGACTTCAAATGAACTACTTTCGGCTAGGCAAGCCTATCATGCTCGTTTTAAGAGATCCCTTGAGGAAGATGTTGCATATCATACAACTGGGGACTTCCGAAAGGTATACCATCCCCTTCGACTGTTGTAAACTTGATTTTTACCGGAGACTTTTTTATTGTTTAGTCATTATGGTTTTCTTATTTATTTGTGCATGAATTCTTGTCTCATTTTCCCATTCCTGATCAGAATAAATTTCCTTTTGTATTATTTCCTTAAGATGTAGTCTTTTCTTATGTACCAAGCTCAATGGTGTAAGTTTATCCAAGAATTACCTAGATATACACGTTTTTCTCTCTAGTGCCTCCTTACTAAATTCTAATACATCCTAAAAATGGGCTAAGAAAAGGTTCCAGTATTTTGGATCCCATTTTTGAACACTGAATTCTGAAAGTGTTTGTGGTCTGGCAGGATATTTATTGGTAAACGTAAATGCATATGTTAAATCAGTTCTGACTTCTGAGTCCTAATAATTAACCAAGATGGTCATGTCTTGCTAAGTACAAGTCATGCTTCGAATTCATTTCTAATCAGAGTTGAATAGCACTGAAAACATTTATTTGATAGAAGAAACTGGGTATATGGTATTGGTATCATAATCACTTCTGTTCCTCCTGTGCATCTAATTCTTAGTTTTCCTTTAATGTGTCCACAAAGTTTGTACTGGCCGGTTACCTAAGTTTCACTCCCGTACAGCTTTTGGTACCTCTTGTGAGCTCATACCGGTATGAGGGACCAGAGGTCAACACGACGCTGGCAAAATCAGAGGCTAAGATACTCCATGAAAAGATTAAGGAGAAGGCTTACAACCACGAGGACGTCATCAGGATTCTGACTACAAGAAGCAAAGAACAGCTTATTGCAACATTCAACAACTACAACAATGATTTTGGGAATGCCATTAACAAGGTATGCTCACTTTACATCTCCAAGTCTGGGGACTGGGAAGTAGACCAATGTGATGACTGAAATCATCTATGGTCTCTACCAGCCCCCACCCCAGAAAAGAAATAAAACATCATCAAAAACAGAAGAAGGTTACCATATTTTCAATGCCTATACTAGGTTTGCAAAGAAGAATTTATTGTGATACATGGTGTAGGAGATCTAACATCATAGAATGGTGATGATTTCATGGCTATTCTGTTACTATATCCATCTGAGGAAGATAGACATTATGCTATAAACAATTCCCTTTCCTTTCAATATTGGCTTTATGATGTTGAATTTCCACCTATTAGTATTTATTTATTTATACTGAACTGAGAGTTTCTGTTTACAGGATTTGAAAGCTGATCCCAAAGATGAATTCCAGGCAGCACTGAGGGCCTTAGTGAAGTGCTTGACCCGTCCTGAGAAGTACTTTGAGAAGGCTCTTCGCCTGGCAATCAACAAGAACGGAACAGATGAATTTGCTCTCACTAGAATTGTTACTACTCGGGCAGGGGTGGACATGAAGAAAATAAAGGAAGAATACCAACGAAGGAACAGCGTCCCTCTGGAGCGTGCCATAGGCAGCGACACCTCTGGGCATTACGAAGAAATGCTTCTAGCTTTGATAGGTCATGGAGAATCTTGAGCAGAGTTGCTCTGAGTGAGAATTATCCACGTGGGTGTCCGCTATTATCATAACGCAAGTCGAGAGTATTTACTGGTATTTGTGCTTATCTGGTGTTCTCATGTCGATGCTACCTTTTCATAGTGTTGCTGGTTTTTGTGGCTTTTGGCATGTTATACTTATTAGTCCTAATAGTTGTATGGGACAAAACATCCAAGGATCTTTTCACTTTCTTACTCGTTTTCTTTTCCTGTTCATCTCTAGTTCAGCAGGCCATCCCGCCCAGGGAGAAAATTGGGGAGAATCGATGCAGATGCCTTTTTAGCAATCAGGTATTCAGGATGGATTGCAAGTTTACAACCTACTCTAGGATGCTGGGTCACCCATCTAAGATCTTAGGTTCCGTTTGGTTTGCGGGAATAGGATTCCAACTGTTTGATTGGATGGAATCGGAATCCCATTCCCATTCCCCCATTTGAGGGAATGGTCATTCCCTCCCCTCCCTTGGGAATAAAATCCCATTTCAAATGATTTTAATCCCCATTTCGATACCTGTATGAACCAAACAGATTATATGAATAGATCATTCTAATTCCGTTTCTGACTATGAGCCAAATGGACCCTAACTATCTAGCCACCACCTTCTCTTATAAGTAGCATTCCTTCAGATCAAGGAAACTGCTCTGCTTTAGTAAAAGATACATTAGTGGCATTCCCTCAGAGCAAGGAAACTGCTTTGCTTTAGTAAAAGATTCATTATAACTAGGAAAGTGAAGAGCAATCTAAGATCTAACTACCACCTTCACTTGTAGGTGGCATTCCCTCGTAGCAAGGAAACTGCTCTGCTTTAGTAAAAGAATGACATAGCTAGGGAAATGGTCTGGAGATGATCCACGAATCTTACGCGTTGTGGCATTTTTTGATTTTGGAGGCCGAACAGGGCTCCCCATGTGGTCCATCGGTAGGGGTCTTAATTGGACTGGATTTGGTCCAATCCGATCTGTCCAGTCCAATGTGAGTTTATTACAAATGTATCAAATCCAATCCAAACCAATGAACTTTTGGATGGTCTGATTTAATGTCTGGACCGTCTAATTTGTTCAAATTTATTTTAATTTAGATTAATTCTAATCCAAATATGATCTCGGCACTTATATTCTTATCTTTTATCAATAGATCAGATATTGATTCAATTCAACCCAATCCAATATAAATTTATTATAGTTGAACTAAGTCCAATCCAATAAATACTTTGGATCATTAAGTGTGGTGTCCAAATTAATTTTGATTTGGATGAAGTCCAATCCAAAACCGGTTCATTGACATCCCTATCCATCGGTTATGGAAGGTTTTGCCAAATGGCTCAACTGAGTCGAAAATTCGAGATCACTCCCTCTTTGCCGAAGAGGTAACCAGTTCTAACGGTAACGAACCCAGAATATGCCCGAGAGTCAAGGCCACGTTCACTCTGTAACTCGACCATAATTGGATTCTTCTACAAGGAAGTGTCAGGTTATTGGAAGCTTCATCTTCCGAAGGACGGACGTCACGGAAAAGAGATGGGATTATCTCGAGTCCTTTTGGATTTGGGCTTTCATTTATATCCTCGTGTGGTCTAATCTCTTGGACGACTCAAACAACTCTTCTACTTTGGGGCTGACATGGATAGCAGACTGCTTGGAGCTGGTTCACCTACCGAATGAAAGTTCCAGCTTCCCCTTAATCAGCCAACTCGGTTTGTTAAAAGATGAAAATATGTTCCAAGAATCATAATGTCAAATGTAGGTCAGCCTCAATAGTTTGCTTGATTGTCATAAAAATCTATTCTTAGCTACCTTGAGCATACAACCTAAAGTTTTGAAATTTGATGGACCTAAATGAATTAATAATCTGTAATCAGATCCAGTCAGAAGTTGTGATAAATTTTGGGGTTTCAATTGAAAAGTTTATAGCTGTCCATATTTTGAGATTCTCACTTTATGTACAAGACTTGCAATTAATGCTCAGTTTTGAAGAAGTATAAATCAAGGTTCAAAATATCGATATGCCCGATATGTCAGTAGGGGTGTATCGGGTGAATCGATACATATTTTTATTGCTTTTTTTTAATTTTTTTTTTTTGCAACCAGTTCAGGGGGGACTGGTTTAGGTCTCCTCTACCCCCTGAACCGGTCAGATTTCTGATACACCCACTGTAGGGGTGTATCAGAAGGGTCTCGGAATGTGTCGATACTTTGAACCTTGGTATAAATACAAATATGTAGAGTGCAAAACCTTGTATTTTTCATTATTTTATATGTATTTGCACTGTACATATTTGCATTTTAGGCTTAATTTGGTAGAAGTATAAATACAAATATATACTGTACAAATACATATAAAATACAAGATTTTACACTCTACAAATTTGTATTTGTACTCCTTTCAAACTGAGCCTTATATGTAAAGTGCAAAATCTTATATTTTGTATGTATTTATATTATACATATTTGTATTTGTACTCCTTCCATAAATTTCATTATTCATCTAGAACTCGAAGACAGTTGCTTTGGATTAGAGAGGAATAATGTAGAGCATAAAATAATTAATATTCAAAATACTTGCGGCTTAAGTTTGGGATGATAAAGTTTACTCGTCTTGCTTGGTTTTTGAGTCATTTAAAGAATATTCTATAACCAATTTAATAAGCCAAAGATCACATGTTTGTAACAAGAATTGATGGCCAAATCAGTTTCCAGAAAATCCACCTAGTTGTAGAATTTGTTTCTAGAAAATTAGTTTCATACTAGATCTAATTTACAAAGTGAGTAAAATTATAATAGATTATTTATTTCTTAATATTTTTAAAGACTTTAGTCAGTTTTAAAGTCTCTATCCCTTTTATTTTTGTGTTGTTCTGAAGTCTCTATCTTTAGGTGGCATGTATTTTAGTTTTAGGACTGGATGGAGCCAGTTTTTTGTACATTCCATCTCCAATCCAGTAACACATGTGCCATATCGAATGCCTCGTCGGGGCTGAAAACCCCAACCCCTTCTTCATCCCCAAGAGACGATTTTGTCCCAACCGTTCCCACATGCAATTTGTTTTTTTTTTTTTGAGAAAAATGTATTATTATACACATATTATAATATGTGTAAAATATATTTTATATATTGCATAGTATAAAATATTATATATAATTTGTATTATAAGTGTAATATATCGTATTATCTATTGAGGTGGGTTTGGGGCCAAAACCCAAAACCAGCCCTGAATCTGATTAACAGTCAAAAAAGCCGTCTCGACCATGGCGGGTCAGATTGCCATCTTTATTTAGAAAGTCGAAAATATGGGACTGAAACCACAATTATGTGAATTCTAGAATGAATAGTTCCCTATGAGGCTAGGATTCTAAAATCCACAAGGTATAAATAAGCCTGGATTTCCTATCGACCATTCTCCGTTATCTATTTATCCTCTCTACTAACCCAATAAACCAATTCCAGCTATCTCTTATCATGTGACAAGGCCTAACCATCCTCTACACGATATACTCCTCTCTATCAAAACTTAAAAACTAAAATAATGATGACTGAAGTCAAGTACTCATCCTGAAAATATCTGAAGCATGCTTCCACCAGTTGGCACTTTTCTCTTAGGCCTTGTTTGTTTACAATTTTGTTATTTACCTTGCTATCTAGGTAAATTCGTTTATTCATGTTCTATTATTTCTTAGTTAAGTAATATAATTATTTTTTTATCCATAAAAWGCTAATATCAAAATGGGTAAATTTGCCCCGTTATATTTTATAATTTTTTTTACAAATGAAAAAGTAATTTACCCACTTAGGAGAYGGATAAGTTTTACCCAAATAAATGAGACTCACTTTACCGTGGAACCCAATAATTAATGCAAAAAGAATGCTGTAAGTTGGTCAATGAGAAAGAGACACCATTGACTACCTTTCCCTCCCTTAATTATTGGTAAACGAACATAGCCTTAAGGCTAAATGATCATCAAATTCAAACCCAAGAAGTCAGAAGATGTTACCCGTACAGAGCTACATTATTTATTTATTTATTTCTAATCTTGAGATGTTTGTTATTCTTGGTGAACCGCCATGGATCTCAACTCTCAATGGCCCTAATTTGCAATCAAACATGGCCTCATTGTGCTTGGGTTGCAGGGTGCACTTCACTGTTTGTTTCTCTAGCAAAGCCGGCAATTCCTGAAATGATTCTCCGTTGTGTAAAGAGAAGAAAATTGAGAGGGGTTTAACATTTCAACAAACAGGTAAATAAGAGAGAAAGGGGAAGAAGACGTGCATGAATAAAATAGATATTGTTTTTATTTTTAGAAAGGATGTATGCCTTAAAAATAGATATTCAAAAAAAAGAGAGTTATGGAGTACACCAGTTAGAACTCTTGTCACATGATAAAGTAGGGAACCCAAACTCCCAAAGGTGCCCATAAACACTAGCCTACTATCATTGTAATTTTTAACAGTAGAATGAATGACAAATATTAGAACAAAGTTGGCAGCTTTTTCTGTCAAGAAGACTACTGGCTGAATGGTCTAGATGAAAGAACTAGAGCGCTCACTTATGCTGAATGGATTTGTCAGAAGCAAGATTCAAAATTTTGAAACCTATCAGTCGATATGTACAAGTTTTCAAGGTAATAGATAGCTAAAAACAGTGACTTAAAATAAATGACCATATTTAAAGAAAAATACCCTTCCCAGAGATCGTCTGATTCAAAGCTTGAAGCCTAAAATAATTCATATCTATGTGTGTTGTCCCTTTGAATTGCATGATACATAAAAATTGCGTATTGTGTGTATCAATACTTGAACCTTGGGTGGTAAGGGTCATTTCTTCATGCTTCTATGTTCTAACGAGCGGCCATACATTCAAACTAGATAATGAGGAGCAAATCAAGAATATCAATAAATTYATACCCTTGCATTTGGTAAGCTAAAACCAAAAAACTGTCCACACCGTACAGCCTCATATAGTGGTCACTGCATTTTTGAAAGATGGCAATTCAGAATCGTGATAACTAGGACAACAGAATGATACATCTGTGTATCCAAAATTAAGCAACTAAAAGCAAAATTGCTTATTTCTTTTTACACTCTACAAAAACATGGCAGTCATGCCTATGCAACTTGAATCATCCCAATCATGTTCAGGTTATCAGCACAAGACTCTTTGCAGTTGGGAATTCTGAATCTGGTAGCCATAGATAGCAAATTGTAGTATAACAAAGTTATGTTGGTAATAATGGAGAACAACAACATCACTTCGTACCACCACAAAAATGTACATCACTTCTTCAAAAGGGCTCGTGAGAAGATCCTCTTGCAATATGGGTTGGTGCGTAAGATGGAAGCATGGGGCCGAATTGCATCAACCAAGGAAGCATGGAGAGGACCCTGGTTTTACAAAGAAGAATTAGAGAAAAAGGGTAAAGAAATTTCAAAAATATTCATCTCACTGACTACATAAATATGTAAGTAAATCAAACCCAGGTTCATAGTCAAACCTTGGTAACTCCTAGAGCAGAATGAATGACATAGTTTGCAAATGGGTGTTGTAGCAAGTGTTCGAATTGAGGCGATGAGAGCAATTCATGAATGATGCGTGACCGGTTCTCCTCTCCAAATACCTTGAGACATTTTTCTACCACATTACTGCTAAACTTTTGTGTAGAAAGGTGAACATAGTTCCCTTCAAACTGACAACTCAAGTTGGCGGTGGCAGATGGTATCTTCAGCTCTAAGATATATTGAACAACATAATTTCTAAAACATAAGGAATTTAAATTTGATAAGTAACATGGAACCGCTTCCACATGGGTGAAACAAATTTAAAGGATTGCTAAGTTTTATTACCACTCAAAGAAATGTAGGTGAATCTACCGTTAACTTTGAGAAGTGAGTGATGTCAGCCCACAATTTAAAAGTATTGCAAATTTGTGTAGTGTGCAACATAATTCTACATCAATAAGCCAAACTTCTAAAAAGGAGTGTAGATAAGACCAAGTAAAACATTTGGACGGAATTATTCATGAAGAGCTTAACCAATAGAATTAGAAGAACCTTAAATGATGTGTCACACACGGACAAATAGCCATGTAGAGAATTGAGAATAGCCATTCACAAGTTATATATGATAATACATGGACTGCTCGAATAGAAGCATTGGCATGTCACTGACATGTGAGTATGAATACCCAAACACAAGCGAAGGGGTGGCTGGGAAGATGGTGGAATTCTTTATACATGGCAGACAAAGAAACATCCTTGACATGAATTCTTCACCCTACCCCTCTTATCTACAAAATAGAGGGAAAATGCAGCCTTCCATCATATAAAAAGTTCTTAATAAACATACCTTAAAGGATCACACGTCATCATGAAGAAAAACACTCATATTTAGTTACTACAAGACCACAGCTAGCTTCTCAAAAGTCATAATAGCACAACCATAAACTTAGTTGGTGACATGCCTGAGTCCCCCATAGGGGCCTTCATTAATTTTGTTTTTGTCATTTTTGGGAATAGCACAACATCACACATAGCTCTCCTTCAATGTCAATGGTAGTGGGACTCAAATCCGCATCTATGCTGGGAGAAACCAGCTAAAGTACCAACTGAGCCACTGCTCAATTGGCGCTAGTGATTCACTTGGGCAAAGTTCATTACAATGTTTGCAAACTTTAGGTTTCAATCAAGCAAAATCAAGGTAAAAATTACGTAGTTTTTTTTTTTGAGAGAGAGAAAGTGACTGATTATATTAAACAGAAACTTCAAAGGTACACAAGATGTTGTACAACAGAAATAAAAACCAGTTTTTTTCACCTAAAAAATGTCAGATGGCAAGTCCTGAACAAAGTACTACCAATAATTCTAATTTTTTTTTTATAATGACCATGTTATCCACACTTTAGTTGATGTGCAAACTTTAAATACCCAGAATACCCCTGCTCCTTTGCAATTTCCTTTTCTGTCCTTATCTCTCCTTAGTTCCAGATATGACCCTATTTTCCACTTCTCTCTTTCATTTCTACTTCCTTGTACACAATTCAAGAAGCACCACGTGCATGTTCCTTCCTGGGTTTACATAACCACACATGCTGCCACTAATTGGTTATATATTTTCCCCATATTTTATTTCCATCTATTTTTTGATAAATGAGAGTAATTTTATTGAAAGAGTATCAGAAATACATGCAGCCTAGGAAGAGGCACGAGATGTTACCTCCCCCAAGGACTGAATCATAAGCACTAAAACATGCCCAAACCTGAGAAACAAATTACAAATTAGCCCAAAACAGATCACCCCTTGACAAACCCTTGCTTGGCCAGAGAATCAGCCATTACATTTGCTGATCTGCTAACCCTCTGGAACCTAACAGTCATATTTTATTTCCATCTATTCTCCCCTCAATTTGGCTCGACTTGGCCTTTTTGAACAAATGAACTCCAAAAACACCAAAGCATAAACAAAATCTACCATTTGAAGTCACTTCAGTTAGTCAAACCATGAACTCCACATCATCCACAAACCTACATAGAAGAAAGAGTTTCATGCCCCAACTTTAGTTGATGTTCAAACTTTTAAATGTCCAGAACACCCCTTCTATTTTTGCAATTTCCTAACCTATCCTTACCTTTCCTTGGTTCTGGATATGCTCCTATTTTCGCCTTATTTTATTTCCATCTCTTGTCCCCACAAATTGGTTCCACTTAAATATTTTGCCTTGTCTACCAAATTAACTCCAAAAACACCAAAGAAGCAACAAAGTATACCATCTGAAGTTGCTTCAGTTAGTCAAACAAATGAGCTCCACAATCCACATCATATCATCAAGAATCTGAAAACCCAAAAACTGCCAAACCATCCTACAAATAGATCTGTTTAGAAGGATACGGTTCTGTATTGAATAAAAGAAGCCACTCTCAGATGTAGTAGACCAAGAGTCAAATAAGTAAGATGAGATGGTTGGTGTCTTAAAGCTGCTCCGACCTGTTCACAAACCATTCCTAAGAGAAACCTTCAATATGGTATGTTATTGATGCTTTTGATAAATTGATAACATCTGTCTTGGGAGATGCACTTGTAACTAAGCATATAGTACCTTAATCAAGCATGGAGTGTGTTGTTATTTTTGTATTGCGCAGATGATCTCAGGTACATCTACCTTCAAATCATTTTTACCAATTCTCTTTAGCTACTTAATATTAGTTGACCCCCTCTCTCCCTCTAACTTCCTAGGTATTGAAAATATGGATCTATTCTTCTTATTATTGATTTTTTCCTTATTTTCTCCTGTCTTATCTTCTCCTTATTTGTAGACTGTGGGTTCTCATTTTCTGTCTATTATACAGTTTCTAAAATGAGTCCTTCAAGCTCCTGTCTTTCAAGTTATAAAAATTTAGTCAAGTTTTTGCTACACATGAATATATCCAAAAAAAAAAAAAAAGCTTTTGCTAAACATGCAATGCATATGTCTTTCCATTATTTGATAAAAAACAAAAGGAAAAGAAATCCCAACAGGCGCGAGTCCCAGCAGAAGGGGGACCATAGCCTTACAAGAGGATTACAATGCATCATAATAATCAATAAGGGAAATCACATCAAATAAATGATCTTATTACCAATCATCTCCCACTAGAACTTGCATTATATAACAGTTCATCAGGTGTTTTCTCCTCTAGGTTGCTCTATATGGTCAGGTGCAATTTTAACACCAAAAGAATGGGTCTTGATCTACCAAGGTTATGAAGAAATTTTCAACCTTTTCCAAGATTAAGACTTCTAGTTGAGGTGTTACTCATAGAAAAGGAACTCTTTGAGGCATGCTTCAAAGATCAAAGGAATTGCAAGGGTTGGAAGCATTGTACTTGCTTGTGTACTTCTGCATTTGGCTAATGGGAATTGGCGAAATCATTGTTTATTGACTAGTCCTTTTCATCTGAAACTTGCATGCCATTTTATAAGAGCTGCAACGCCTGAATTGAATGATTTATTGCTTTAATTTTGGTCAATAAGTTACCAAGGATGTTGTGAGTTCCTTAATGGCCGAACCCAAAGTTGGGTTGATTGTTATACCCTCAAATATTTTATTATTTAATTATTTTGTCCGCTAATAGACAAAAAAAAGTCATTCATTTCATCCACTTTAACAATTATCAAAAGGCCCCTTAGTGGTGTTACTTAAATGCTTTGAGTAAGCTTTTGATGTTCCTTCATGAAATGTAGCCATTCATGTGGAAATGGTATCTTGCACCACTTGGAAACATGGAAAAAACATCCTTGGAGAAGATTATTATGGAATTGACCTCCATAAAGTTGCTATTGAGTGTCTAATGATAAGTTTTTCAACAGTGTGTCAGTTGGCAGGACAATGTTTCGATAAGAATATCTTTCACAAGGTGTACATTAGGAGAGAGCAAACCTACAGAAATCTTTCATGATGTGTTTTTGAGAATAGGGAAATAGAGTAACAAATTAAAAAAAAAAACTTAGAATGCAATATGAAAATTAACATCTTGAGTATAAGGAAAATGGATGTTAGGTCTATAACCCAGATGGTTTCAATGACCAAACGTCAAGAGAGAAGGCTGAATCTATGTTCTGTAAAAGGGGTAATCAAATCATCATTATCATCATCTAAGCCATGTCCCAACTATGTTGGGTCGGCTCAAGGGGGTAATTAAATAAAGTTCCAGTATCTTCAGAAAAAGATTGGATAATTGATGCTTAGAACCTGACTTTAATGGGAACTGATTGTATTGGTAAATTGAGTATAGACTATAGAAAATAATATTTAATAATGACAAGGTGTTCAAATCAATCAATTATCTGTAACAGTTATTTAAGCCAATAAAGCTAAGGAAACCAGTGTTTTAAAAGGCGTGGGAAGCATGCGCCTCCAGGCTAGGCGCTCCCAAAACGCCCCGGGGCGTATGCCAGAGGCGCCGACACCTCTGAAGCGTACACCTCAGGTGTGCTTTTTTCATGAGGCATGATAGAGGCGTATGCCTCATGCGCCTCATGCACATCTGATATAAAAAAGAAAAAAAAAGAAAAAAGAAAAAAAGGAAAGGAAAGGAAAGGAAAGGGAAAGAAAAAGAAAGAGAAGAAAAAAAGAGAAAAGGAAATAAAAGAAAAGGAAAGGGAAGGGAAAGGAAGAAAAGATAAGGGGAAAGAAAGTGGTTTGCCCCCTGCCCCCCCTTTTAACTAATCTTATGCATCTTTATTCTTCTTAATATAAAAGATTTTATTAAAAATAAAGAAAAAGTGAGATCCCCCCTTCCTCTTCATCCTCCTCCCCTTCCTCCTCCTAACCCCCCTCCTCTTAAGGAGGCTTATGCCTCCTTGTGTTCGGGAGGCTTACGCCTCTTGCATTCTGAACTACGCCTCACGCCTCTAGGTAGTGGAATGCCTCGCGTCATGCCTCCGCGTTTTAAAACATTGAAGGAAACAATGTTATTCAAGACTCCGTATTTCCAAAGAGAGCATCACAAGTAGACTGCATGTGGAGATATTGTTCTAGTGTGTAAAGGAATTATAAGACAGAGTTTAGCTAAAGTTGCCATTCTTTTTTTGTTTCCTTCTAGGCAGCTGGTAGTGTTTAATACTTCAATTATGTGCTTCAAGAAAAATACTGATTGACCAAGCCATAAACTTTGTTGTTTGTGGAACAACTACAAAAGTTTTTCTTTATACATGGAGAACTGTTACACCTTCTTTTAAATACTTTTTTCCTTGCCAAAGAGAAAATCATAAACGATCTCTCACAAACATAAATCAATTATAAAGACTTCATAGGAAAGCTACTAATTCATGGAATACAACATGAGAATGTTAAACGATAACTCAAAACCTTAAGAACTAAAATTGGACTAATAGGATATTAAGTAAAGAAAATTCTTACTAACATTATGTTCTTCAACTGTATGTGTCGATTTTGTAGTACTAGTTGAGTGGTGCATGCAAATTTCACGTGCAATAGGAGTGAGAAATGAATAGAAGAAAATAAATGGAATAAARCTTTGCAATGGTCATTTCGATGTGATGCCAAGACAAGTATCAACTTTATATAGTAAATAATGTGTGTTAGAAAACCTCTGTGTTGTGTGAATCTAATTTTAAGCTTTCAAATCAGAGATTGTTTAGCTTTCATATCAGAGATGTATATATTCAATTTTGAAGCATGTCATAGGAAAGAAGGTTAACATTCTGGAATATTAGCTCATTGATATATTTAAACAAACTATATTTCTATAAAAAAAGGAGATGTAATAGAACAAATTGCAAATGGAATAAAATTCCTTCAAATAATTACCCAAAAGCATCTTGTGCCAGAAGGAGACCATTGGTGGAAATTTCTTCAACCAACTTCGCTTGGTGTTCTCCAGTTGAATGAGCAATACATCGTTGCAAAACACAACACCCGTGCCGGTGAGTTGCTATATCCACACAAAATTTTGCAGCAGCATCAAAAATAAACTGCCATCAAATTAATAAAAGGAAAAGTAAAATGTTAGGTATTTGTGCTATCCTGAACCACATGATAGAAAACAGTCCACAGCACATAAACATTGACCAGAAACTGGATGCACAATGTCTTCTATCCAAAATGAAATACTTTAGGACATAGGTAGAAGCATCCATATAGGACGATTTCATAGATATTTTGACTTTTTCCAATGGGTCTGATTGAACATCCATATGCCCCACAAAAAAATGAAGGAAAAAAAAAGAACAGAGCAATGCTACATCAACTGCATCAGGGGCCTTGTCCATCATGGAGATGTCAAATCACAAGAGAACAAAACATAAACAGGAACGTTTTTTTTTGTGAAAATAAAGGGGGTAATGGAGAGAACCAAGTAACACTAGTATCCGACAAAAATAAACAAAAACAAAACTTGATTATTGAAAACATTTAGTTCATCACCAACTTAACAAAAAAAAACATTTAGCTCACCACCACCAATGAAACATTAGTCTTTTTTTACAATATGTTTAAATTAGATTGAAAAACCCTTTTTCTAGTTGTATCTTTTTTTTTTAATTGTAGAGACTGAGTAAGTAAACCCTGGGCCTGGTGCCTCAAAACCAGATAAATCCTTGATATTCCTTCCCTAGCCAAAGCACCCACTAGACTATCTGACAGAGCATTTGCTTCTATGATTTAAGATATTTAAGCAATCAAGGGCCCTCCATTCTTGTTGACAACCAGAAAGACAATAACCGCTTGACAATCTCCTTCAACAATCAGTCCATTCTAACCTGAAGAGAAGGCCCATTTTAGATTATGCAAGTGCTTGAAGTTCCACCCTTGGGAATAATATTCCCCATGGTCTAACAACACAGACCTCACTACTGATGGACCTAGGTTTCCAAAGAACACCACCCATTAAGTTTAATTTTAACCTCATCTTTGTCCATGAAACTGCACTCTTAGATCTTGTGACAACTTCTTTATTTCTCCCAACACACGGCAATGTTGCCAAGGTCCTTTTTTTTTTGTGTGTGTTTAACTGGAAGCTTACAACAATTTTAGAGTCACCTTCCACCAAGTTACTAAAGTTTAAAGGACTCTGCCAGGTAAAAACCTTGGTATAACGCCAAAAGTTCAGCCCATAACAAATCCCCTTGGCTAATGGGATCAAGTGAAAAGATAAGCCCATGTTTTTTAATTAATTTATAAGAAAAAAATATGTGATATATACAAGGCAAGTTGTGCCAAGCACCCCACATTCAGTCTGGGAAATCCCAGCTGCCAGGCCCATTGGAGTCCATTTTATTTGATCACATATGTCATTCTGGTTCCCTACTAGTAGTCCCCCCAATACAAATGATCTCTGCTAACACATGTCTTGCTAATACACCTGCCAGACCATGTCCATTTTGTGATCTCGGTCTCCGGATGAAAGTGCCAAAATAGGTGATTCCATGTCTTTTGTCAAAGAACAGGAAACAAATAGGTGATTAGCATGCTCTTAGCCCTTCAAGCATAGAATGCACACATGAGGGGAGAGGCTCCAAGTTTTCCCCATTCCCATTGAAGCATATTACTAATGCTTATTATCATCTTTGATCTTTATAAGAGTAAAGCCATCATATGTCCTTTTGGCTTACAAGTATTTTTATAAACAAAAAACAATCCAATCTTTTTTTTTTATCAGTAACTCATAAAAGGATTTTATTAATTTTAAAAGAAAGCAGAGAAACAAAACATTGTGGAAAATACAGAAGACACCAAATGTCTAAACCCCCCAAGCATATTACAGCTGAGCCCAAAACATACTCTATCTCTGAACCCCTTGCTTAGCTAGACCATCTGCCAGACTATTGGCAGATCTTCTAATCCAATTAACCTGAATAAACATGTCCCTAGAGTGCCATTTGAAACGCCTAAGGATTCCTTAGATGCCAAGATTTCTCTATCCCTTCTTTAGCCATTCTACTACTGTTTTGGAGTCACCTTCAATAATTAATCTTTCAATACCCAATTCTTTAGCTTTCTCAACTCCAAAAACAGCAGCCAAGAATTCTGCAGATGCCACATCACCTTGCTCAATTGGACCTGAGAAGAAAGCACATATATTTCCTTCCTCATCTCTGATTACACCTCCAATTCTGGAGGAAAAAACAAAAAAACAAACCCGTACTAAATAAAACCACTTACTCCAAAAGCTACAAACAGTTAAAAAAAAACACTCCCAAAGACAAAAAATAAAATAGAATAAAACAGAAGCGACACAAAAGCCCACAAGAAACCCAAGACTGCACTTAAACCAGAGGAAACACAATAAACCTCCACATTCCTCCAAAACAAGGGAAAAATTCTACATCATAACCAACCAAATCCCAACCACAAAGATCAAATGAACTAACTTTACCTGCACAATTTGAAATCAACTCCAATAAATCTCTTAAGATTAACTCAATGGACACTCCTGCTTATACTTCCCTAAATCCTAAAGTTTAACTATTGGAAAGAACAATGGTATCAAAAGTAAAAATTTTCAACCATATAGATGTGGATTCTTTGGCTATCCTTCCCATTACACTCTAGGAAAATATAAAATCAATTCCAGAATCATTAAAGGTATAAATATATCACTATACAAGCTTGAACTTGAATGATAGGAGTTGAATATCATGTAATATATAAATATATTGATAGGTGAATATCGAGCTATGAAGATAGGATCATAAATTAATTGATTTGGGAGCACGAATGGAACAATATAGAAGAATCTAGAGAACCACATAAATGTAGCTCCTAAGGAGCCGTGGTTGGTCCTACATTGAAAAGCCTATAGAACTATTGTAGCCCTTGCCAGTAACTTACCATCAGAGAGGCAAATGAATGACATCTAAAAATTATTATCAATTAAAGATGTTAGTGCCATATTACTAAGGCATCAAGGTGAAGAATCCAGACCTTATTGTCTTCATTGCTAAGGCATTGCAAGCAACGTGACACCACATGATTTCCATTGAGATCCTTAATGAGATGAAGGAACCCTGGTTCAAGGGCTGAGATAACCATTGAAATCTCCTTTCTGGTTTTGAGAGTCTCAATCAATTTCTGTACCGCACGGGTTCTAGTACAAAAGTACATTTCATTAGAGCAGCTAAGAAGGAATGCAACTAACAACAATGAACATGAACACGGAAAGGATCAAGCAACATATGGAGAACTTACCCATGTGTATTTAAAGAGATTTTGACAAGCTCGCCTGGTTCTTCTGTTACCATGAGCAAAATCTGCATTTTCTGCTCTTCATTGCATACATCCAACAATTTCTGCATGAGGTAATTCCCGAATGGGTTCATCATAAGTTCAACCACATGATCAATAATTTCATTAAATATTGTTTGCACATCTTGTGGTGTCCCTTCATCAAATATCCGTTGTAAAAATCGACAACCATGCTGATCCTTTGCCATGAAGTAGATATAACCCTGGACTTCCAGCAAGGAATTATATTTTGGTGGTAGGAGCAAAGGACAATAAGCCCTAGAATTACAACCATTTTCAGAATTCGTGGTAGGAATTCCTCCAGGGTGGAATCGACCATCCATCTCAGAACTATTCTCCTGTAGGTGTGCTGGGCCAATTGCATTGCCAGATCCTTTTTTATGTCCTCTTAAACGATCACATCCCTTGTTAATCACATAATTCAATCCCTTTCCCTGTATGATAATGCTATCCTCACAATTGAAAGCCTGGAGATCACGCATACTTCTCATTGATGGTACAGATTGAGCAGCCCAACTGTTTAGGAGTTCCCCTGACCTACTGTTGAGAACAGGAATGTCATAACCTAGTGGATTTTCCATACCCAAAGGCAGCTTTGAGTGATGAGAATTTAGTAAGTTCAATGCACCCCTGACTCTACTAGAATCTACACCGTTTCTTTGTGAGAATAGGAAAGCATCAGTTGCAGAAGGCTTAGTGAATGATGGGATTACATTCGACATTTCAACTCCCCTATAATACGGGTTTCTAACAAAAACAGAATCTGCTCGGAGCCGCAAATTACTCAAGGTCTCATTGCTTGCATGCTCTGTAGCTGGTTGCCAAGGAATATTGTTTGGGTCTGGGAAACGACTAGGCTGAGAAAATCGCACATCAGATCGAGCAGGAGAGAAACACAAACCTGGTAAGTTACCCATACGAGATTCCTTCTGCAATTTCCACAATGCCGGCCTCATGTCCTCATTTAAGTTATCTTGGCCCACACGACCAGAGTATTGAGGGCCTCCGTGATCAGAAAATTCTTTGCAATCTTCAAAACAACCATTCTTTTCCACATTGCCATGGTTTCGCCTTGTTAATGGATGATCATTTAACCAGAACGCAATATGAGGCGATGACTGGAACGGTCTGTTCATCAATAAATCCTCTTGGTCATCTCTAATAAGCATTCTACTAAAGTTCCCAGGCAAACTCAGTTCATCCATCAAGTTCTCATGGGCTTTCTTCCCCACAGGAGAATCCGACAATTTTGAGTCCAGCCACAATCCATTTGGATAACGGGTATTTCTCGGTGGTACCTGAGATTTAATCTCCTCCAACAGAGGTGGAGTGGGCGATCCGTCGTCGGGAGAGGACAAGCCACCAGAGAAGGAACTCGAAGAAGAGCCTTGGGATTGCAGAGAGACTCCACTAATAGGAGAGACACACATGTACTTATGATAATATGACGGATCATCTTCATACATGCCATTAATTGTCAGTGGAGAAGTAGAGCCGTGACCATAGCCACCATGAACATCGACATGACGATTTTGTTGCTGAAAGAGGTGATGGAGATTGAGAGATGTCGCATGAGGGATCTCATCCAACAACATTTCTAGTTCTTCTTCGTCCTTCATATCTTTTCAATAATATCTATCTATCTTTTATGTCAATTTCTCCAATCTTCAGATAATAAAAACAAACACAGATTGACAGAGGGAAAAAAGAAAGAACAAAAACAGAAGAAGATTATCAATCCCAAAAGCCCAAAACTCACAACGGTTTTGATTCAGAGAGACTGAAAACCAGATACCCAAAAGAGATTACCAGCTCTTCTGGGTGTTCGCGACGGTGACCATCCTTGAAATGGTGCTTCGAAATTCAATCCCATTCCATTTCATTTTATTTGCATTTGGATTTAGGCTCCGAGGGAGTTGGTGAGGCATGCAAAGATGCAGAAGAAAGGATGATGGATTTTCATATATACGGGTACTGTACTCTAACTATATGTATTATACGCGCCAACTCCATTAAAACAACAGCAGAGAAGCGAGACGCTCATTTGCAAAGAACACAGAGAGAAAGAAAGGAGAGAAAGACACTACTGTTACTCAGTATATAAAGTTATAAACTGACTCAAAGCACACCTATAATATTCTAATTCTATATTATTTTTTTAATTAAAATATAAAAAAAGCATTTTGTTATTATTTTTTTGATATTTTCGGTTATTAATATCTCCAACAGACGGACCAGCCACACCCACACCCAGTCTTCTTCCCCAACAAACTTCTCAGCGAAGATATCTTCATTTTCTCCACATCTAACGGACCTTTATCCTCCACGTCACTAAAAGAAATCCGAATGATATTTACGTAAATGAGGTCATACGAAAATACCAACTCACCCTTTTGCATTTTTGCCATCATGTGAATTGTCACTGTTCCCTAAACGACTAACGAGATTTCGATGATCGGATCGTAACCACACGACTTGATCTACGTGCTGATGGATCATGGATGTATATGCAATCGACGGTTCGAAATCAGTCAAATTCCGGGATACGGAATCGCTTACACATAACACAACCATATTTTGATTTTGACTATCGTGTTTCTGAGGAGATAACATGTTAAGAAGTAACTGGATGCCTGAGTGGACTGTATACTGTAGAGTGCTAATTTACGCACCCTGCAAATTCCACTTTTTGGTTCCCTTTGTGCCTTCCTACTTGTTTTGTCCCTCTGTCTGTTGCTTGTTATCCAAGAAAAAGATTGATAAAAATGTTTAAAAGGGCGGAGGGGGGATAGGTTAAGCTAAACACCCCGAGTGCCGAGTACCAACCTGAGAGATATCTTAATCGGAAAGGGAGCAACCTTTCAGGACCCCACCAATGGCGAAAATAGTTCTCACTTCTCACTTCTGATAACGGCTGAATTAGCTGGACTGATTAACTTAATAGTTTGTTTATTTTATAATTAATTTAAATAGTAAAATAAATAGAGGGGGGTAATAATTAAAGACTTAATAAGTAGTAATGCACGGTATGGTAGCAGTAGATGAGACATGAGACAAGTGTTCCATGCTACACTATGATGGTAGTAGGGACAGAAGTGAGAAAATAGAGTAGAAACTACAGACAAGAGAGAAGGAAGGAAAAGGTCTATCGACCGAATAGTTAGCCTATCAAATTGGGGGACCCCTCGCCAAATTCTTCCCACGTACGAGCCGAAAGCAAAGTAATTAAAGATGCAAAAACTAACAGCTCTGCGATTATTAACCATTTTTAGTTTTAACCTCACGGACCAACGTGAAAGCCACTTTTAAAGCACTTTTTAACTTTTTATTATGTGCGTCGACTGATGGGAACGTATTCATGATTCTCAGTACTGCTACAGTCATCATGTCAATGGACCGCTTTGGATTGGATCTCATCCAGTTCAAAATCAATTTAGTTGGATTGGAAGGACGAATAAGATATAATGGATTGGATTAATATCCTTCAAAATATTTATTAGATTGGATTAGACATGGTCCATCTGTAGTCAATATTTGATCTATTAATATAAAATAAGAATATATATGTCAATGGACTGGATTCAAGTTAAAACCAATCTAAATAAAAACGAATTTGAACAGATTTGACAGTCAAAATATTGAATTGGATCGATCCAAATTAACTCATCATTTATTGGATTGGATTGGGCCTGATCCATTTATAATAGACTCATTGAACTAGATCGGATTGGACCAAATCTAGGACATCAACCCTAACCACGCACTCTCCCAATATTTACCGGTTGGAGTTGGACCATTCAATTCTTGAGCAAGACTTGACCATTGATGAATTGAAACCTATTAAATCATCACTCCCAACTTTCTTGGTTCCATTTCTACAGTTCTACCTAAACCTCAGTGGCTGTGAGTAATTAAAGTGTATATCCTAGACGTTTGATTGTTCCGATTAAAACTCAACGCAATATTCACATTGGCGAGGGAGTGAAACTGAAATGCATCGTGGCGACTTGCGGGCAAACTGATTCCTAGCAATACGGAAGGGGAGTAGTGTAAAAGCTAGAACAGTATGTAATACCGGTGCAAATGATTTGGTTCTTTTGCATCAATGTCTGTTCGAAGTTCAAACTTAAACAAAAACAAAAACTAAAAAAAAAAATCATAATAATGAATGTTCTGGCCCTCTAGGTGGACTCGGTCATTTTGGGGAACGGGCACCCCCCCCACCTTTTCCAGTTATCAGCTATCACGGAATCACCGTCAGTTGCATGATTACGTATTTTTCAGTAACATTTAATAACGATAAATCACCAAATGGACCAACCCCCATTCCACCAACCATAGAGTTAGCTATTCAATCATGGTATGGCAAGACAGGATAACAAAATATTGGATGTACCGATGTAGATTGTAGACGTGAAAATTGAAACCATGGAATTAAATTTAAAAACCAAAACGAAACGATAGTGTTGTGAAGAAAGAGAAACCAATTAGATAAGAATCCATTCTTCCGGTTTGGATGTTAAAAGCCTAAGAAGTTTAATATATCACACACGAACACGACACACCCCCAACTCGGCAAGAACCCACCCACAATCAAAGCATGTAGAACGAGGCCCTTCAAAGTTCATAAATACAAGATATCATTCCACTAAGAATTAACAGAAAACCAAAACACCAAGAAATAATGTAAAAATGGAGAAGTTAGACACGACAGTCAAACCAAGGCAATGCTGCTCTCACCACCTGGAGGCTTGCGGACACCACCTAGGTAGTCTCTGGAAGATGCCTTCCCATCAGCGAAGATGTCGCTCCCACTCATCTCTCGCAGCTTCGCCTCACTAAGCGACTTCTCAGCCGAACCGGGAGGTGCATCCCCTTTGAAGATGTCATTGCCGGAGAGCTCAGCAAATTTCTGGTTATGTATCTTCTTTGCTGTCTTCACCACCGGCTCCTCGCTAAACATGAAATTACTCTGACCTCCAGCAGGCTTTTAAAATTCACACCAAAATCACAACCCAGTTAGATCTCTGAAGAAAACAGAAAATAAATTAACAACAATAATAATAGAGGTAGGAATGCACCCAAACATGAAAAATGAGTACAAGTGGAAATGCATGTCAGAATAGGTAAATTGAAGAGCCTGTCCAAGCCTGTCATGTCCCCCATACCAGAAGTTGGCTCTCTAAATATCATTTTCCATGACAAAATAATTCAAAACCAACGGGAATTATTTTCCATGTACCATTTAAAACGATATAAAACACCCTATAAATAAGTAAATCTTTATTACCAGCAAAGAGAAATTAAAAAAAAAAACAAAATAATACAGCAATGGGAAGATTAGAGAGTAGAAGAATTTGATGAAAAATAAAAGAAAAATCAAAATGGATCCAATCCCACCCCCACACATTTAACTCACTCACGTTAGACACTTTGACGGATGTGCGTACATTACGTGGCACGGGTTCTCCCATGTCTTTGCCTTCTTTCTCCAAGGAGCGTGCAGCCAATGGTCGAGGTGGATTTTCAGGAGGGGGGCCAAATATATCATGCCCACTAAGCTCCTTGCACTTTGCATCTGATAGCTGCTTCCTTATCGTTGCCTCAGACTCAGTTTCAAGTGTCCCACTTAGCTCTCGCTGCTTTGCCACCTCAGGAATTGAAGTTGGCTTCTTGGGAGAAACACTCTCTTCAGCACTAAATGAGATCTGGCTGATCCCACTCAGTGCTTGCTGAGAAACCCAACCATAAGCCAAATTTCAGTTAGACATTCTGCTAAGCATATGCATATGAGCATATGTATCTGAAAGCTATAAGCAGAGCTGTCATGGTAATGCAGTAATGAGAGGCATGCATACTGTAGTGCACTTTAAATCTCAAAACAAATACCTGGTAAATCCGTAATCCTGTTTTATTGTTAGAAGCCGGATTAGCACTACCAGATTCTGCTGCATCATTCTCACTATCAGCTGCAAATATACCACTACCAGTCATCTCCCTCCACTTAGACCCAGAACATGGTTTCCTGCAAGTTTTAACACAGATTGTTCCAGAAGGCCTCAGGAAAACTATATAGGCAAAGTGTCATCTTGTTGAAATTAACACACCATGGAGATGTTCTGTTTTTCTGATATTTGAAAACGAGCTTTCTACGTCTACCCCAATACTACTATGGTCTATAAAGGCATATAGATCATATCTATTCAACAAAAATAATATTTTACTACTTACATAATCAGTTAGAAGTTATTCATTACAAGAAACTACAAASTGAAGTACCAAAACAGCAGGATGGTTGGTTGAAGGAAAGATCTAATAGAGTAATGGTCAATGAAGTGAGAGGCCTATAATTTGATGAAAAAAAAATTGGCATTTCATTCAACATAAGTATTTCCTCTAAAATTTAATTTAGTGAGACCCTACTTTTTGTCAATATGTTTTTTACTTCAAATTCATATGAGTAGCATTGAATCATATTTTTCCACCTCCCCCTAACTTAAATAACCATTTCCTATTATTCTTATCATTTAAGCATCATTTAGAAACAATCTTTCTTAATTGCTCCATTAATTTCAGAAAAATCTTGTACGGTTTAACCTGAAATATGTCAAAATTTTAGCAAAATATTCAAAGTTTCATCTAAAATAAAGAGAACAGGCAATAACCAGTGGATCAAGTGTGTTGAGGCTCATAATGTGTTGTGTGCCTTGCCTGAAATCATGTGCATCTCAACTGACATTTATTGCTATATTTTGATGAATTAACCTTGAATTTGATATTGAATACATAGTTTACAATATTGTAGGGTGTATTCATGATGTTGAATACATAGTTTACAAACAAGTCATGTATAGAATTTGATACTCCAATTAATTAAGCTAATTTGATACATAGTTTACAAACAAGTCATAGTTTACAATTTGATACTCCAATACATAGTTTACAATATTCTAGTCTTTTTCACAAGTGGTGCCTCACTAAATCCAGGCATGTGCCTTGCCTTGAACCCTCCTGTTCCTCAGGCTCTGGGAGCCTGAGGCACTTAGTTGCACTTCTCACTTACAGAGACTGGCAATAACAAACAAGGCCCAGCAAGGGATGCATGAGCTGTCTACTTCCCAGGTCCACTTAAATAGACAATCATTTAATATTTCTCACCCACAATTTGCAGCCTGTACTATAGACTTATTAGTCAAACTACAAAGCATTAAATCTACAGATGTTCCTGAGCACAGTAGTTTCTTTTAGGACTTGTAGAAGACATAAACATAGACAGATGGAAAACTATCAAGGGAAAAAAAACTTTAGAATGTGCCCCCAACAAATTTTTTCGTAGCAGAGGGACAATACAAACAGTCACCTCTCATGATAAAGAGGTTAATTAGAAGAAAGCATCAGAAAGAAAGTCCCAGTGATAGGTAAATGGCATATCTGTAGCGAACTAGCTGGGTTAAAATTCCCTTGCCCAACAAAAAAATTCTGAACCAATAAAATAACTATAATAATGATCCTGGAAGGATATTTGAAAGGGATCTGCATAAAATGTTAGTAGTTTAATTAGGCATGATTTCATAGAAGATTTAGTTTTTTTTTTATTTTTCAATAAGTTTCATACAATAATTTGTTTTTAGTTTCTAAGAGGCTATTACAAAGTAAAACAAACTAAGAGGGTTTGTAGGATTTAAATTAATTTTGCGCCATGCTTTTATATTTTAAGAGTGTTACCAAAGCATTTGTAAACATCACTTATTCCTACACAACTAGAGCATATCAAAATGTAGCATTTAGTAACTTCTTTTACCTATTGATTAGTAATGTTTCATTGAGATCAGGGAAATCCTGTCTCGGGTGCTTCAGATGCTCTAGCAAAATCTAGGGTGGGCAGTAACTCCTCATATAGCAATTCTTAGTTACCTTTGTAACTGTTAGGGAGGATCATTTTTTCCTGGTCTTTTCTGAGTTGTTTTGGTGAGGTGTATGTCTTATATATCTTGTGAATCCTTCCCTTTTTTAGTTTTAACGAAAGTTCCTTTCTTTAAAAACAGATCAGAAAAATAAAGCACAATAAAAGGAAGAAAGCAAACAAAAGAAAACAAATCATGGGGATCTGACATACTCAAAAGAAAACAGCATCCCTAACACCACATGTACAAAATGTCCAAAAAACCAAGGAACCAGAAGCTCCAGAATAACAACCAGAAGGAAACCACCTCAAGGAATTTCCGATATGAATGCCATTCGAAAGAATAAAATTGATACACCAATGTATTAGGAAGACATCTTGTATAATTGAATCCTCCAAACAAGGCTCATTATTGGACATTCTAAATTGATTGAGAATATTGAACTCCTTGAATTGACATTATTTGCATTGTTCCAAGTGTAGTAGACAAAACTATCACATATTTTAACTCCTGCAAGAACTTCCTTCCAAACTGGTATTATGAATATAGTTATGGAACTAGGAATTTAAAGAGATCGTTTCCTTTACAAAAGAGACACTATTTTTATATCAATACCAAATTAGCATTGCAAATATTTGGAGAGGTAACACCGTAAGGGACATATGATACGGTTGGCATACAAACTCAAGATCAAAGATGCGAATTCAATATGTTGCGGAACAGGTGTTGTGAAAAGCCATGAAGTTAAAAGACATCATAGATAGGGAAAGAGATAATATTTTAGCTTGAAGGACGAGATCTTTTGCATGCAATCCATAATCCCATCTTCCTAAAAGCTACCGAGGGAAAGGGGTGCAAGGCATCCAGACCTCAAACTTTGGATTTTTTTGGACTTACTATTAAGAAAGTTAAACGCAAGTGAAGTTTAGGGAAATAAGAAAACATGTCTTCCAGCAGCCGTTCTTTTGATTGGAATGGGACACAGAACCTCCTTTTTTATCGGGGAAAAAAACAAAGAGTACAACAAGCTATCAAGTCTCGCAGACAACTGCCACTCTGACAATCCACAGCCAGTTCATTGATCAGAACAAAATAATCAGTCAGAGGAGAAATCTATCATATCCAAGTACGTCGATCTGGTTATAATTCCTTGAAGAAGATCTGAACATCTTCATTTTAAGGGATCTAAATTCTAAAGTATCAGATCAAAAGTGAAAACCATTAGAGAGAGAGAGAGAGGGATTACTTATACATGATACTCCTTCAAATCGAGTGGCCTCATCGAATTAGGTAGATCGATGACAAAATATTTAGAAGAGGTGTACATTTCAAAGAACATGTCAAAACCATTAACCGACCAGCAGATCTAAAGAAAACAATTCACTAAAACCCGAAGCATCCCATATCTTTTCCTTTAAAAAAAAAGTGGAACAGAAATCAAGGAATGCGAAAAGCATGAACAATGCAGACGAAACGGAGTTGAGAAACAACGAAGTCTCCGTCCAGCTCATCATAGGATAGCATTGATTACCATAAATGGAAACTCCAATAACAAGAGAATCTTCGAAGTTACAAGCAAGAAAAAAAAGGAGAAACAGTGCCATTGAATTTGAAGCACACTCGAGACTCGAACAGATCTCACCTTTTCAACAAGCTATCGACTTCTTCATCAGTAACCTGACCTCCGAAGAGAACTTTACTAATCCCGTCGGACGGCTGAAATTTTTCCAAGAAGAAAACCCTAAGACGCCCAAATATCCAACAAATATTAAAAGCCATTCCATTCTCTAACAAAAACAGAAACACTTACTTGGTGAGTACGGATTGTCGGTCGCGAACCGGAAGTTGCAGAATTTGAAGCAGAGGAGTCGGCGGGAGGATTTTCGGACCATGTGAGCAGATCCGCTGTAGATGTGTGAGGCTTCCTCACAGGAGTAGTTCTCTCCATTTTCGTTCAACTTCTATCTTACTACTCTAGCTGGAGTGCTCGCCGAAACAATGAGAAGTGAGAACGAAAGGAAAACAGGTCTCCAGATCTCTCCTCTCTCACTCCTCCTTACTTTTAATGGTTTTAGTTTTAGGAAGCACTTCTGGCTCTGCGTTTTCTCTGTCTTCACGCACAAAAAAGCTCGATCTCGGAAATGACGTGCCTGTCCTCTCCCTTTCTCTGTCTCTCTCTCTCTCTCTCTCTCAAACAATCTCTCTCTCTTTTTTTCTCTCTTCTCGCCTGCTCTCGCCCACTATATGAGTTTCCCAATCTGCTACTCTACCTTTTTAAAACTGGAGGATATACCTCATACCGTCCTACTGGCTACTTCCACCACTAATTTGAATTTTCAATTTTTGTTTCGCTTCGCCTCTCATTCGTTCCGTACATTCAACCGGCACGTGTCTGTTTCTCCATGATAGACAACCGGCTCCACTCGGTTTCAGTTCTGATCAGAATCAACGTATTTAGGAGCGAATTCACCGAAATGTCCCCACATTGAGAGCGAGGGAAGAGCACTAGGCCAGAAGTAGCGAAGGTTTCGATTTCAGAAGGTTGATTTTTGAATTTCAAACTGTCATTCGAGGGGTGGTTTGGTCAAGGCAGGGTTATTATCTGCTAAGACGTTAGACTAAACGAGAGATTCCGTTACATCTTACTATCTTAGGGACCAAATTATGAAAAACGCCTTGGAAATTATCAGAATGACCAAAATGTCGATGTGACGGGAATTGCCGTTGCGAGTGAGAATCGACATGATTGGGGGATTTGGGGAATAAATAGTGTGTGTGGACTGTGGAGGTGAGGAGAGCAGGCGGTGAATGACGGAGGGGAGGAAAGCACGCGTGAAGTGAAGGTGATCGGCAGGATCCGGTGCAACTCCTGTCATCGGAAGGCTGCAGACTCCAACTTCTGTGGATCGATCCAATTCTATTTCCTAGTCTCTTATTATGGGGGCATGCATCCATAAAACGAAACGGTTGTGAAAATGGTAATCCAGACTCCAGACTCCAGCTGTATGACATATTCAGCAAAATGGAGCTCGACAAGGGCCAGGGGTGGTCACTGGTCAGTGGTCGTCTGGTGTTAAGACATAAAGACAATCAGTCGGAAACATGGCCGGACTCCAGCCAGAAACTCCAAATCGGACCTGCTATATCCAAATACAGCGCTATCTCTTCACATCAWTCTCACGGTACTGCCCCCCGCAGGCCGCCCTTCACCTCAGTAGCCTAATGCCAGTAACTAATAAATCTTGTCAATGGTGAATTTTTCAATATCCACTTATGAAGCATGGTCCACGAATAACTTCTAACTCTTCTCCATTTCTCTCTCCGAGTTCGGCTCCCGTCAGGGCAACCACATTCGAGACTTCTGGTAGTTAAGTCTATTAGTTAAGCACTTGCATTGCATGTAAGAATTTTTTTATATTAATTAATTGAATTTTAGATATATTATAATTAAGAAATGAATAGAAAATTAATAAAACTAATAATATAATTAAAAATAAACTTAAATATTTATAGTAAATGTGTATATGCATTGCAATGAAAATTTTAAATTATAATAACAATTATTATTATTATTATTATTGTTATTATTATTGTTATTATTATTATTATTATTATTATTATTATTATTATTATTATATTCCATTTCTATCATAAATAAAAATAATTTTTATTTTAATAATTGTTTTTATTTAATATGATAAATGTATAACATTAGAAGCGTTCCTAAATGTTTTTGAAAAAAACAATCTATACTTTTCATTTTTTGTGTTCTATCTTTTTTTTTATATATTTATTTTTTAATTATGAGATCATAAGTTTCTTTGAAAAGTTGGATCATTGACCTACCATTTAAAAAAAAATAGCTTTGTTTTTGGATCAGTTTTAAATTATATCCATCTACATTATATAAATAATTTTTACATATCACACTTAATTTTTGTTTGACATAATTAATATATAAAAATCTATGATGTGGGAAAGACATGGTACCAGAAGAGTTTTGACCAATCAAAGCCATCCATGAATTTTGATAAATAACATCTGATTGGCTACCAAATTTTTTATACCAGCTAATTGGTAAAAAAAAAATAGATATCATATCTTTTCAATATTATAGTTGAACACAATTTTCATATATTTTTTTTATTACATGTACTTTTTTATTACTTTCAAAATTTTATTATTTAACTATAATATTATCAATTAATCCATTTGACCCAAACCACTATCCCACCACCCAAAAAGAAAAATAGTATGATTTCTAGGTTGACATAAATTTTGTATTACATTTCCATCACTGATAAATTTATTTCTTATGTATAATATTTATTTTTGTTCAATACAATGAATGTATAATATTATAGATGTGCTCAATATTTTATTTTTTTATAAATATATAACATTAGATATGTGCCCAAAATTTTCTCTACTTTTCAATTTTTGTGATTCTTTGTATTTTCTATTTTTAAAAATATTATTATTTGACCATGACATCATTTCATTTCTAGGTTGATTTTAAATTTTCCATTCCATTTTCATCATTTATAAAAATACTTCTTACAATTCATACTTATGTTTGTTCACTATAATGAATGTATAATATTAGAAATGGGTCTAATTTTTTTTTGTATTATATATTTTACTTATTTTATTTTTCATTATTTAATTATGCCATTATTTATTAACTAATTTGACCCCAAATTGTTAAATTTCTTACCCACCATTAGGAGGGAAGAAAATGGTTTTGTTTTCAAATTATTTTWAAAAAAAAAATTATTCTTATATTATTAAAATTAATATTATGGATTTAATTTGTATAATTTAATGATGAAAAAAATATATCTTAAATATAAGATTTAATAACAAAAGATACATTAGATATTAGAATTAATAAGAGAGAATACGAAAATAGCTTTATTTCATTCGGTTTGAAATTTTATATTCCATTCCATCGTTAATAAAAATATTTCTTATTTATCATCAGTGTTTTCAACCTACCGTTGCCTCAACCGAATCAACCGTTCAAACCATCACTTGGCCTTGATTTTCAGGTTTGGTTTTGTTGAGGCTCGCCCTTTCGGTCAAAAACTGTCTAACCTAGGTAGTTCAACCATTGACCCCTTAAACCGGCTATAGAGTCATGGGTTGCACACTTAATTATGTGCAAACATTTGGAGGCCATAACTTTGCACTCCGATGTCCGATTGGGGTGATATTTTCTTTTATTTTAGGTAAATTTTCAAGATCTATATGCCCCAAGGGCCTTAGGTGTCTTGCCTTGCTATTTTCACAAAAAAAAGAGTCCCTTTTTTGGCCCCAAATTGCAATTTTTAATATTTTTTATAAATAAAAAAATTAAAAAGCATAAATAAATGTAACAGAATACATATATTATATGTAAAACATAATTATACACTATTTATAGATAAAATATGTATTTTCACACACACACACACACACACACATAGAGAGAGAGAGAGAGTGCTGATGTAGATCGGTTTGACCCGTTCAACCTTGATGATTGAACTGGTGACCTGTGACTTGAAGGCAAAAACAGGTTAGCCTTCGGGTCGGTTTTTAAAATATTGTTTATCATACTTATTATTGTTTAGTATGTCAAATATATGATGTTAAAAATGTTTCCATTTTTATTAAATTTATATATTTTTTGCATTTTATACATTTTTGAATTTTACTATTTAATTGTGGCAACATGGATTGGGCCATTTTACCCAACCTGGTTTAATTTCTTGTTACCACCTAGATGAAAACACTATTTTTTTCTAGGTAGATTTTAAAAGTTTAAGTTTTATGTTCTTGGAATTATTAATTTATTATGTATGGATTTAATTATAGAATTTAATGATGCGAAGAAACAAAAATGCCTTAAATATATGAATCAATGAAAGTGAATGCAAATTAATACTTTAAATGTAGGATTTAATGAGAAAGAATTGAATGCATTGAGTATCTTGAAATTACCTCTTTTCAACTCATTTAATAGCAATATTAGATTACCCTATTTGCCCTCATTTTTTATCAATAAATTTAAATATAGAAGGATAATTTTTGTCTTCAAAAAATTCCAAAAACATTCTTGATGCTATTAATACTTTTTAAAGTAGTACCAATAGGGTAATCTAATATTGCTATATAAAAATATATTTTTTCTAATCATATATAATAATACATTTAAAAATGAAATCTGTAGGTATTTCAATCAATTCTACATTGCTATACAAAAAATACGTTAATAAACACTTTTAAACCTAACCAATCCACCCAATAGGGGTGCTCATAACCGAACTGTGGGGCATTTTTTGTAATTGAACCAGTAGTATCGTTTTTTAGAAAACTGGTAACCGAAACCTATTGATTAACTGATTTGGTTAACTGTCGATTCGGTTCGTTGGTTTTCGGTTTTTTTAATTATTACAATATATATTATAAAAATATAATAAAAAGTATAAATATATAAAATATTATATTTTAAATAATAAAATAGTATATCATATATTATAAATACATATTTATTAATTTATAATATATAAAAAATATATATAATATATGGAAATATATATATACCAGTCGATTTGATTAACCACTGGTTTTCTATATTAATTAACTGGAACCGAACCAATACCTTTAATTTTTAAAAACACTGAACTAAAACTGAACCGACCGATTTGATTAATCAATTTTTTAGTTCGATTTTTTTCGATCAATTCGGTTTTTCGATTTTTTTCTCACCCTACCACCCAAGCTTGACTATGTCCAGCTTGATCCAATCCAAGTTGTGTGTGAATGGGGGGACATTGAGGAGGGACAGCAGAATCGAAAGGCAAAAGCAGTATCACTGTATATGTGCAGTACCGTCCCCCAGGTGACTCACGAAGAAACACTACTCTAAAATATGGTTAGCATATCATTAATTGATCCAGATGTGTTTTTTTTACTACAAGACACATTTTTGCGATCCCAATGAGCCCCCTGCAACGCTGTAACCTGTCATGCTTGTTCTGCGGATCACAAGTTGACGAGAGAATACGAATGCTATGCTTGGAAGTAGTTTCTGCAGTTCTTGGTTTTCTTCTCTCTACAGGCATAAAGGGGGCCATAATTGTCCAACTTTATTCTGTACTGTCACTGTATCTGTGTATACCCTTATGGACGGACCGTTGGAACGTTCAACCGGGAACCGGCCTCTAAAACGGTTACTTGTCCAGTTCAATTTTAAAAAATTTGATTCAATGTTTTATAAGATTTCT